TACGTACTCTCTCTACTATTTGGTAAGTTTACTTACCTACTCTCTCCACTACTCTCTATGTTTGGTAAGTAGTACATAACCAAACGTTACTAACTACTCTCTCTCTCTCTCTCTCTCTCTCTCTCTCTCTCTCTACATTTTTTGGAAAATAGCATTTACAAGCACCGCCTTGTTTCCTTTTTGCTGTAAATTCAAAAATAAGAACTTGCCGTTTTCGCTATCAATCACATAAAGAGAGTTAGAATTTATTTAATGCTAGCCATGCATTCATTAACAAGCACCAGACCGTTTCTTTTTTTTGTGAATTGAGAAAAGGATAACTTGCTAGAACTCGTTTTTTTTTGTTTTTCATATTCTACATTCAATAACACACACGGAAAGCCATGTCTCCGAATCCAACTTTAGGGACTCAAATAATTTGACACTCTGTACCCGTGTCCTACACCGACACCCATACCCGAATCCATGCAACATAGATAGTAATGAAAAGAGAATGATACTCAACAGTCAAGGACAAGGCCCCAAAGGTGAGATTCCAACTCACTCTCCATACTAATCCAACACTGCATCAGATTATTTGGAAACAGACTGCTGTTTTCCATACTTCTAGGATTATAATATATTTTCGCCTGTTTCACACCAAATTGTCGAAGAGAGAAAGGACAAGAAACCTTATAATATCCTCAAACTCCAACATTTGCTCGCTACAACTGAGGGCCAGTTTAGCCCTTTCTTCCAAGGATGAAGCCAAAGAGAGTATGCCATCCATATCAGAGAACATTTTTTCGTCCTCCAGGTGTAACCTGAAACAAAAGAAGTTCAATATAGTAGAAGCAAATAACACATAATTGTATACCAAAGGAAGTAAAAGCCTACTGTCCCAGGAAATGTAAAAGAGACATACAAGGTGGCCTCAGCCAATAACTGCATAATGAAATCCATGGGCATCCTAACAGAGAGAACCTGTCTACCAAAAAGATGTAGGAACGTATGGAAATCACGTTAGATCACTGCATCATAATAATATTTGTGCATAAAAACAATACAGGAAATATTAGTAACAGAAAATGTCCAACCTCAAACCTAAAGACAGTAAAAAAACAAAGTCTAAGATACAAATGACAAATATCAAATAAATGTGTAGAACTGCTAATAGATGAATTAAATGATTTACGAACAATCTTATTGGGTTAGTTCCCAAAACAAAACAAAAAAAGATATCTTATCAGGTTAGAACCTAGAATATCACAATTTACTAATTTTTAGATCAGATATTAGCATTTCAAAAAGTAAAAATGGAGGGCATCAAACCAAAAGTGCGAGAGTTGTATGTTGAAGAAAGCTTTCAGCGACCATAGAAGAAAACCATGATATATTTTTGAAATTATTTTGCTTTAATAACAAATATGACTCAACCATGTTACCTTCAAAGCTCTTGCCCTGCAACTTGACTTTCTTAATTCCTCCTCAATCAGGGGCAATTCTCCAACTGTAGTTGACATGAAACAAAACCTCAAGAAATCAGATATGCTCAGATAACAGATTCATTCATAAATATAGCTTTAACAGCAAAACCATTGACAACCAAATTAAAAACAAAAATAGCTCATAAAAAAAGCACTCGGAACACATTAATGGATCCAACTGGATTGATCAAATGTTATTACCAGAAATCAGAATGATGAAGGGACATGCAGAAATCAGAAAGAACACAGAAATCCACTTAAAGATTTAACCACCAGTTTGATCTTTAAAAGACAAACAAAAAGGATATGGGAAAAATATAAAATAATCCAATGGAATCTGAAAACCACCACTAACCAATGATATGAGGCACAGTACTCACTAAAAAAGACATCACCCAATAGTGGGACCAACTCTCTCCATCACTATCCATTTCTTCACCAGAGGTGAGAATAACAGTGGATTATGTATATGAAGACACCCAAAAGATTACAGTATACTTTCCCAAAGGGTACAGTGATGGATGCATACCCTGTACTTTTAACATCTGTCCTGCTGCCACAACAGCACTAAGTTCCTCAACAATATTGTAATAATCCTCTCGTTCTTTAATCTTCTCAAGAGCATTTCGAGAATCGTCAATCCACGCTAAAGCATCACCATGATGATGTCTAAGTAACTTCATTTCTGGTGTGCAAAACGAGAAAGCATCCGCATCATGCAGAAGAGTTTCAAGTTCCTGAAGCAGTGAAGACTCATAAGTAATCCAATGCCACCTGCTACGTGAGTGTGTGAATGAAACATACTACACATATGAGAAGACAAAAGATTGTTAAAAGACTTATAACCTTCAAATTCAGAGGACCTTTCAAGATCTCACTGGTCCGAATATTCCACAACTCCACCTGCTCTAAGAGATCATTCAGCAGCTCCACTTCTGGGAGTTGAACATGGAGCCCCAGCATCTGACATTGAAATTCATGAGAATTGTAGTCCAAGGCTTCTAGGGCAGCAAAACAAATAGGTTCCAATGATATGCCCAGGAAAGAATCCTGACAAAATGAATAAAGCAATGGGAAATACACTATCTAAATTGATCAACCATAAAAAACTGTAGCACATTGAGATCATCACCTTATGATAAGACGGACAGTAATAGAGGAAGAGTGTGACCTACTATAGGGGTAATATCTTGCTTTAGTACACTCCACTCTCTGTCCATCAACATTCATCATTTCATTGGAAGGTGATAATACCAATGGACAATTGTTTCCTACTATAATATACCTTTCCCTATACCAATTTACTCACTTCTGCTTTCAGCTTATAAAGGGCATCAGCATCAATATCAACAGGCTCATCCCTGTTACCTAACGAGTATCTTTGGACACTCCTTTGCCAAGCCTAAAACAATAAACTAACATAAGAATAACCAACAAAGAGGACAATAATATTTCATTTTAGAAAACATCCAGGACAATAATGTATGAAGTAAATGGGGAAAATGCAAAAGAAAATAAAAAAAACCACAATTGTCATAGTAACTTCAAAATAACGAAAAAACTCGACTGACACAATGACAAAGCAAGACTTCAATTACAATACATGTTCCCAATAGTTCAAAGAGAACAGAAGAAGGGATTAGAAAACAACAGAATGTACCTTTGCAGAGGATATCTCCCTTTCTAATCTTTGACATTCCTCTAAAATAATTGGCGATTCTACAGCTCTGAAGTGCAAGGCTTCCAATTCAGCAACCTGAAGTTCCATTATGATCAACTATGAGTAGGACACACAACACCCATCACAAGAAAGGTGGAAAAATTATATGGTAGATGCTATGGAGGCATCAACAATCCATTCATTGTTTTACCAACAATGGATGGTGGAGATTAAGCATAATGTTCATGATGAGGAAAGACAGTTAATCTCAGCAATCACTTGTTGAAAGGGGCGGTGAATCCCCCAGTAGTGCACCTATATATATAGTATATGATTTATTTTCCCAAAAAACGATGAATGAATGTCAATCCGCTTAATATTCCAGACTTCAAGCCACTTCCCAGATGAATGCACATGGGCAAATATGGATATAATCACAAACCCTAATCCACCAAGGAGGAGGAATTTCCTCAATACAATACTGCTAACACAAAATCTCACCACAGTTCTGTGTATATCTTGCACACTGTAAAGATAAAAAACATCACTGAAAACTTCAAAAAATAGATCTAGGTCTTATATATAATGAAAGTACACCACATGAATCTAGTGTATGATACACAACAGGAAGGACACCCACCCCCCATTCTTGAGAAGGACAGTGGAGATGAATCATTGTTCATTACAAATATCAACCAATCTCTACCATCTCTCTCAATGCTTGCCTGTGGATCGTATACAATACGTAACAGGAAGTTTGAGATTTCTTGCAACTTTTATGCAAAGGAAGTTTCAGATTTTCCATCTTTCGTTTTTACTTATGATGTTTTATTGTGTACCCATGGAGGCTAAACTGACACCAGGCAGATTTGCATATTTGGGTTTCCATTGGGCGGTGATGGAAATGAATTAATGATGAGGAAAAACTTAGTTGATGACTGGTGATGGAGAGCGAGACCGACTACTGGCGTTGTGGGTTCTGGCAGATCCCACTTTCCATCACCATCCATTATTTCATCCAAGAGCCATGATCCCAATGAACTTTGCTTTTCTATAGTTCATTGGATTAAAACTTTCCCATCAGAAAAATAGTATAGCATCCCATGGCTTAAATTTTATGAGAACCATCCTACGACATACAAATGAAATGGAGACACAGAACTTCAACTCGGACCAATGCAGACTATTAACTTAATTTACCGTGAGAGAACGAGATGATAAAGCAGCTTTTATTTCAAGGTCCAACATCCTGGCACCATCTGCAAAAGCCTGTAGACAGTGAAAACAACATGCTTATGTGTTTAATATTTTCATAATCATTTACCCAAAATAAAGATTTTCAAGTTCAAGGGAGATGAGAATTCGACAGGCTGACGAATTCCAGATTGTAAAATTTTCATTTTATCAGAAATGAGAAAGGACCTTCAACTTAGCATTGCTTGGTTCGTTACAGGACAAAGAACTTGAAGCCAAGAGTTCCTCAACAAGCTTCAGGTGAACCTCCCCAGCAGCATTATTATTCAAGCTACTTTCAACTTTAGAGAGGCAAAGCCTCGAATTTTCAGCCCACTTCTGAGCTTCAATCAAGCTTTTTGCCATATCTCGGACCTGTAACATCAATTTGAAACCAGCATATGATCATTACCTTATTTCATAAAGGGGAAGTAAGCTATAAAAGAATGAATATTTGAAAATCCGTAGCCCATTATGTCATCATTGCCCATCATTTTGATGGATGATGGAGAGAATGGAGGGAAAGAAGAGAGAGAGAGAGGGGAGGGGGGGTGGTGCACCTGCATTATTGTACCATTAGTAAAGCTTACCGAATCCATTTCATGCCCTGCCCAAAGAAACTGCTCAGCCTCCTGTAGTGCATTCACAGAAGCAGCCTCTGAAAATGGCAATTGAAAAATCTGACGAGCATCAGCAAGCCAAGCATCTGCTAACTGTGAATGGGAGAAATAGCAACCTTTCACCTGCATATGTTTTCTCAATTTAATACTCAGAAAGCCAAAGACAAGTTCAATATCCTTAGGTTGAGCTCGTACTACTAAAAGGCAAAAACAAGGTTTAGTGAACAATAATTCAAACAACTTTAACTACAAGCATAATGATAACATAAGAAGTTGATACACACGAATAACACACCTTCTTTGTCAACTGCCTGGCAGAAACCTTACTTTGACCTCCAGACTTCATTTCTAGATCCCACACCCTAGTAGATCCAGGACTAACCATAAGGAGCAAGTCCTCTAGTTCTGCAACAGTGTAACGATACATAAGACGATGCTGATCTGGACTGCATTCACAAAGGTGCTTCCAATGCTGCAGAAATATACAGGTAACATATAAGGGTCCTTCATGGGAAAAAATTTCAAAGTAACCCCACATATTATATAGACACACACACTCCAAATCAGTTCTATTTATGTTTGTATATACACATTGAGAGAGAGAGAAAGAGATAAGGCAACCTTTACATGTGGTTCCACCGTGACTGCTATTCTCAGCAGACCAATCTAAATGGATGGCTGGGATAAGCTTGGTCACAATCTCAGGCCCTACATGGTTTTATTTTTATTTTTATTTTACAAATCATCTTGACATAAAATTTGAGGCATGCCCACTCCTTATAAGCCCACCCAACAGAGAAAAAATATTTCTGAGTAAAATAAATGACCAAAATACCCCTGAAAGTTACAGGAGCATTTGGTCACTTTTTTGTTGCCACTTACAAGAAATATTTTTTTCTTACTTTTATTAGGTGCACCCCTATGAGAATTGAGCATACACCAAATTTCATGTCAAAATGATTTGTAGTACACAAAATTCAAATTCAAAAACTCTAATCTGCTCAACCAAGATCAGAATCTCAAAGGCTAACTTGTGACATTGTGACAGAAGCCATCCCAGCCATCCATTTGTATGGGATGCCAGGGAAAAGCAGTCACATATGTTTCACGCCTCCAGATCAGTACAGATTACACTTTACCTACCAAAACAAACATGAATTGCGCCTCTCTTACCTCCAAACAAGCAAAAGCAGTTGGCCGACAGTCACAAACAACTGCAGAAAGATACAGATACTGACGGCATATGATGCATTCTGGATCCTACAGTTCAGATAGAAAATTTGCAATGTTAAGCAGCTGCCAAATCATGACAACAGCTACACCACTTAACTGTTGCAAAAAGGAAAGATAGGCTGTGAACCAGTGGTCTATGTAAAAAACATAATCCAGTGGGTTATCTTGATCCACTGAATTGATGGACAGGTGGGTCTCACTCTCTACCCCACCATCCATTGCTACAATGGATAATGATGAACCAATGGAATGGTTACTCCATTGCCCATTGATTAAGTATATTTTCCTTGGAGCAACGCAAAAAATAGATGTGCACAACAGTACCTCTTCAGTGCCCACATACTCAGGTTGCTTTCTTGGAGACATCATGGATGATCTAACAGTACCAATCTTCCAAAGCTTCTCTCTCTGAGTTTTCTCTTTAGAAAATACGCGAAGCATTTCTTTCTTCAAGTAAGGCAAGGCCTTCGTATTGCAACTGCTCTATTGATCAAATTGAAGAATGACATGGTTAGATCTCCAAACCACATACTCTAAAAAGGTCGCAACATGAACTTAAATGACAAAATTCACCTTTAGCCGCATAAGTAGCCATTACATGACTAGATTTACCAATTCAAGCATCTAATAAAGAGAAGGCCACAAAAAAAGAGAGTATAACCCCCACTAAATGCTTTGAAAACTTAGATATCATAAATACCAATCAAATAACATGTTATATCAATTCATAATATGAACAAACAAGGGTCATTTGTTATTTTTATATATATCAGAAAGCAACTTCAATAAGAGAAACTAAGGCTCAAAATGAGGCCAACATGGTACTAATTTGTTTGACCGATCAAATGCACTAATCTTGATGTGTCAGAAGAGGACAAATGGAAAGCACATATCCACATTAAAAGTACACTGAATGTTATTGTACATTGTGAGCATCTATAATTAAGAAGCTCCAGACCGTATAAGTAGTTAGTCGTATTATGAATTACAATGACATCATTAGTAAGAACTCTTCGAAAGAAAGGGGACACTCAAGCCCCATAAGATGTTTATAATTATGCAACCTTAGCAACAACACAGAGAAGCTCCTCATGAGATATAACGGCAGTCTTGTGATACGACTGATACAGCTCCGCTCCTAACCCACCATGTGGCAACCAGTCAGCAGGAGCAAAATTGACAGCTTCGGCACAATTTAAACCTGAAAGCCGCCATGATAATCACCTTTAGATATAAGGAAGCCTTTTATTCACATTGAATGACATAAAATGTGTTATTAAACCACCCCCACAGGGGGAAACAAAAAAACTCACACACATGCAATAATGTTTAATTAGATCTAATTAGATCAGCTCAAGTGAGACCCACTTAAGATCACAAGGAATTACCAAAATTGAATCCGGCATGAAAAGACCTCGGGAAAGTTATGACAAAGTTGCCGGCCTCCTGGCAAAGAACAAATATGAGCTGGAATTAAGTACATTACTCTGGCTCTTACCACAATAGAACAAACGGGTCACAAAATCAAACTCAAAACATACAGACATCTAAAATCCGGAGATAGAAAGTGAAGTTCACATTGAGAGCAGAGAATATGTAACATTCTAATAAAGCTTCTTGGAAATCAAATGGAAAGAACATGAATGGAGCTTGAAAAAAAAAACTGTGGCAATTTAAAAAGCAGGTCTTGGTAATAAAAACCTTTTCATGATTGGGAAGGAAGTCAATAGAAAATCAAGCAAAACCCATTAAGGCAATCACACCATACCCCATTACTTTGGTACTCATACTCAAATCATTTTTGCTGATTACTAATTAAATGTGATTACTCTGATAGAAGAAAACTACTCAGAGAAAAAACAAATAATGCTTGAAGATGCCCTCATCCAAAAATGGACATATAACACCTAAAGACACTTAGGTCCAAGAGGGGATATATAATACCTAAAAACAACTTCATCCCAAAAAAAAGGATGAATTATATTAAAAAAATAAATGAGAAATAAGAAATGATATATACAAAACCTGTACTACACCATAAACAGAAACATCATGTTCTCGGAGCACAGCTGGGTTCAATAAGGTTACAAGATGAAATAAGAGGTCTGGTTGTGCCTCAAACAAATCTGGAAGGGTCTCCCTCATAACCTGTGAAAGAAAGAAAACAATACCATGAGAATAATCAACTAACCTTTATAACCCATGGATTGGCAAAGTGAACAAGTAGTCCGATATCAGAACACTGAATTATAACAGCTGAGGCAAGCAACTAACAAGGAGACTAGGACAAAAACGATCTATTAAAAGCATATGGCGACCTCATTTGTGTTCTTAAAACAAATAATTATGAGAGATTATGCAGTTGGCCAGGAAATTTGAAACATCAACAAACTTCGATCCATCAATAATAAAAAAATCCAATCATTTTAAGTTTTTGCCCTCACTTTTGAACATAAAATTGAAATAAAATGATGTTTCTAACAAAATTAGCGGTCCTGGTACTGTCCTGATATTTCAAGCTTCTAGACCACCTGCATGATCTATGCAGGTGGTCCAGGTACTGCCTGAGGTTTTCACTGTTTTTTTAAATAACAGAAGTCTGCGAAAAAAATGCAGTCAGATAAAAGGAAACCAAATTTGTATAGGAGACATGCACAAAGGAGGACAATCTTCACAAGCAGTAGCACCATTATTGGAAATTGGATTCTTCTGAATGCTGGATTCTTCTAAAAAGAAGTCACTGACTTGGAAAATTTCTACTTTGATACAAGTGTTATGGGCACCCAATGTATTACCTGTTCAAAAGCATGAGCTTCGTTACCAGGGACACTGTACCAACACTTCGGCTCACCCCTGAAGAAGCAAAAGAAGCACATAGTCAACCAAAGTGGATACAGAACTCTAAAGAAAAAAGCTCGACCATCAAGGATTACAAATATTTCACAAAAAAGGAATAACAAAACATGCGAGGCCATTTTGACGACCTAAACTAAGATATCCCCAAGAAATGGACAATAAATATGACATAACCTTCATAACACTGATTCCGGCAAGTCCCAAGAGGGGGCATGCAGTAACAATGAAATTGTGGACCACCCACATGTGAGTTGCGCACCCACTGAGCATACACACATAGACACCTACAAACACTAATTTGGTAAAGACATTGCAATGTAGAACCACAAGTTCATTTTTTACGAAGAGCTACATTGCTTTACCACAACTCTCTAATTTAGGTAAGATTAATTCAGTTTAAGACTAATGAATATGATGCTACTATGAAATGGCATTCATAGTTTTTCCAATAGGCATGGTAGTGATTGAGCTAGGCAAGTAGAAAGCAAGAAAGGGAGGGGTTGATGGATGGGGACGAATTAGGGCAGATCTTTCAATGCCTAAAGAGTGAAGAGGGGTACACCTTCTGCAGGTAGCCAGTTACAAAGAGGGATTCGATATAGGGTTAGGTTGGGTTACAGGTTTATGTCCTGGTCTAACGCCGAGCAGTGAATCTTCTCTATGGTTTCATTTTACGAACGTTGCATGTATCGCGTCTGATCCAGAGGTTCCATTTTAAGAGGCAGGGGATAATAATGGTTTGCTGTCCTAGATTAGAAGGATCCCTGAGGAAGAGGAGGTTGAGGTTCTCTATCATTTTCAGACGCCTTTGAAGTCAAATTTTATCCTCCCCCTGGTCTAAAGGCCTGTGTCATCCCCAGATAATTCAGACTTCAGAGCCCTCAATCAATTCCGCTCGTGATAATTTTGCAGGACAATGATGATAGGTCCGTGCCCAATGTCTATGGAGTGTTCCAACGCCCCTTTGATATTATGTTTCAGTCTGTTTGTTATTATCATTTATCAGTAAATGTCTCACTATTGATCACTTCTAGGACTCCATTCCCCTTTGCAACATGACTCACGGAGCCAAAGACTCATTGGATTATGTTTTCATTTATGGCCATCCAAAATTTCTTCATATATATCTTTGGCATTTCTCATGCGATGCCTTCTGCTATTATACACCTGATAAGGTATCGGTCCTCTCCAATTCCTTCCCACTTCTCATAAGGTGAACCTGCGATGGAATCTCAGTATTTTTACCATTAAATAGGAAATTTAGATGGAGCAAAATCAAAATTCATCGATGGTTAGCTTTAGAATTACTTGATTGTTGAGAAACTTTGGGATGACATCTCATGCCAGCTGCTTTCAAGGTTTCTAATGGGGTCTAAAGTTCCCTTATTTCTTTTCTTTTCTTTTTTTGTCGTTTAGAGCTATGAAAATTTTCCATTAGGACGATTATGTGATATAGGATCAGAGGGCAATGATGCTCCTGGGGAATTGAATTAATAAACCTATCACAAGTGTGAGACTCCCTCCTAAAAGTGACTTAAAGATCAACTTCAACAGGAGTTAGTTGGGAACCTGGCTTCCAGAATAAAATAATCTCCATGGACTCAACCGGAGTAGAGCACAAGGCCCTTGTTGGCATTTTGCATGGGTTGCCTAACGACTTTCAAATTTTTTAGATAGTTGGTATCTCATTTCTTCATATTTCTTTTGGTTTTTCTATTATACTTTGTATTTTATTTATTGCCAATATAAATCAAAGTTACCTTGCATAAACAATGGTGAAGCAGATGACCAGGCAGGAAAAGATTGGAGGTGGTTGACCTTGCAGTTTTAAATTCTTCAATCCCTTCCTACTTCTTGAAGACCTACCTTTGTTTTATCTTTTTTTATCATTGCATACTGATTATTTCCTTTTTCCAAATTATTTTGCGTGTTTTTTTCGTCCTTGTCATCAGATGCAACTAGATGTACAAGCTCTTAATTAATTGTTACAGTCAAAAAGGAAAGTTAACCTCCCGCTTAACATCTCCACAATCCACATGGAAAATCATTGAACATCATAGCAAAACTTTAGTAGCCCCACCCCCATTGATATATAAAATCAAGTCAAAATAAATTAAAAAGCTTCAAAGAAACTCAGATATGTTACATCTCTCATCACAAAAAAATCTAGACATTATAAAACACATAAACTAGGAAAACAAAGAAAATGAAATAAATAAATAGCAGAAAGTAAAAGAAATAAATAAAAAGCTTAAGACAGTAAAAGAAATAAATAAATAGCTTAAGACACTGCTAATGCCTCCAAACTATATAACATTCCCAAATGGAGTATGTGTAATGGTTCAAGCACATACAACACAACATGTCTAGAGAAAACAGAAAGCATAACTACAACTGAGGAAACTAGTGCGCAATAAAGGCAAGTGGGAAAGGAATTACCAGTGCAGATAATTCATGGAATAGAAGCAATGATCCTCAACATGCCAACAAAAAGAAGAAAACAACATTCCAACATAAAGCCAAGGCACCATCACACCAGCAATATTATCACGAACGGCCCGGAGCACAGAACCTTGTAACTTAGGCAAGTTATTCAGATTCCATGGACTTGTTGAATACTCTTTCCAAACATTCAAATCAACTCCAATAGGAGGCACATCATTTGGTCGAGGAAAACCACTCCCATATATAGAAGTATCCAAATCACTACCATAAATAACCTCAACTTCACCAGCAGATCCCTCCACTATTTCCCAAAATCTCTTCTCTATTTGGGCATGACTCACATTTGACGAACCAAACCATCGTTTCCTTGTCCTATCGGCCAATCTTTGAAAACTTTCCAGTGAAACTTGCTTTCCAGGGATGAACCCAAAGCTATCTTTCTCGGAATTAATACAATCAAAGCAATACCAGTCACCAGGCGGAATCCGCTTCAAAGGGGGGGAAAGGCAGTGTAAGTGCCATCCCCTGTTGCACCTATCACAAAGAAGCATTACTTCACCATGCAATCCACTTTTGCATTGCTCACATACCTGATCCATAGTCTCCTCGTCAATATCAGATTCTCTCTCTAAACTGCCATTATCCTTCCTTGACCTCGATTTATGGTTTTTTACATGATCATTGGATTCCCCCACTTTACAACGTTCATTATCAAATTTCTTTCTCTCTCTACCAATTCTCTTTGTCGCACCATTCAAAAATGAGCCCTTGCAATTTTTGTCTTCACTTTCTTTACCACATTTCCCTCTTCCTCTAGAAACTCTCTTCATTCCATCCCCACCCTTTGAATTCTTATTGTGATAAACCTCATAGTCATATAAATATTCCCTATACAATTGTCCAAGAACATGCAATGAACACGCCGAAATCTTCTTTGATGAAAACATGACCCTTGCAACACTAACCCAATTTCTCTTAGTAACCACCTTATCATAACCTCCATATCTCTTCACCGCATTGAAAAGACGACACAAATCTAACTCCTCCCCTTCAAAAACGACCTTCTTACGAAGTTTGCGAGAACTACGTCTATCTAAAAACCTATTGTAGTCAAGGTCAAATGTTTTTGGATCACAAGGCGCAGAACGAACCTGAAGCTGGTGTATAGGCTGCGTTTTTGTTGGAAAAGTGAATGAATCTAGTTCAAGTGAAAATGGGGGTTTCCAGCTCTTTGGAGGAACTATTCTACAAATTCCATAGCGCTCAGCCTCTCCCCTAATTTGCTCAATAAACCCTAATGGGTCTTTGAATTCCTCTTCAGTGGGGTAATACACAGGAGCTTGAGGCAAGTTCAGAGCCCCAAAAGATTGAGTGTTGGGGCTCTGAGATTCTTGTTCTCCTAGAGTTCTTGCCCTAACCCTAGCTTTTCCCATGAAATTTTCGAAGTAAATTAAATAAATTCTATAAAAATAAAGCCGTTAAAAGTAGAAGACATACCAGTTACAGTTCGTTCTAGGGTTTTTAGGGTCTCTCAATCCCCTGATGTTTCCCATGGGGGCGGAAAAAAGAAAACCCCGTCACAACCCTGTGACTATATAGGTTTTTTATCATTTTGGTACTTTTGAAATGCCCTAAAGTTTTTTCGCAAATGTCTAGATACGATCTTTGACGTTTGTTTTTTTTTGTATAAAAAAAATTGATAGACATAGTACCCCCTTCATCTAATCATAATCTTAAATAATCCCTTACTCTTATGAAAAGCCCACAAAACCCTTCGAAGTTAAAAATAAAAATATGTTTAACCCCTTATTTACTTTTTCACTGCTCGATAATAAAATGATATTGTCTACAAAGAGGTCATTTATCTTTAATATATGGAGGTCACAATCATTATTTTCGAACTCGTGATTCATCCCAAGCCATCAATTTGACATCAATGAGTGAGAATGACTGTGATCTCCATGTACGAAAGATAAATGGTTTATTTGTAGACTATCCCTAATAATATTGGTCCATTTTCCCTATAACTTAAAAGGTTCACTGAATAAGAGAGAGGAAAATAAAGTGAGACAGAGAGAGACAAAGGTTAAAAAGAGAGAGGGCTTTTCAAGGTTTAGATGATGGCGTTAAAAGATAATCGTTATAAGTTGGACAGTGAAAAAGATAACGAGGGGTAAACATCCTTCTCTTTTATAGGGAAAATTATAGATATATCCTCAAAATGATTTTTGTAGATATCGTCCCCTCAATACTCTTTGTATCACACCCTAGACTCAAATGTTATATTTACCACCCCCGTCAAAAAGTCAAAAAAAATTGAGACTAAAATGCCCTTCTCATCTCTCACTTTATCTACCCACCCTCTATTTATCTCTCTATCGCTTCTCTTTCTCTTTCTACCCACGCTCTCACTCTTTCTACTAGCCTCTCCCTAACCCTTCCCTCTCTACATGCCCTCTCTCTCACTTTCTTTACATGTTCTCTCTATCCCTCTTTCTCTCTCGGCCCATCCTCTCTCTCCACCTGTGCTATCTCTATCTCTCTTCCTGCCCTCACCCTCTTTCTCTCTTTACTCACCATCTCTCTCCTCTCTATGCTTTCTCTCTACCTACCCTCTCTCTCCTCTATCTTTCTAGGTGGGTAGAGAAAGAAAGAGATATAGAGAGTGAGAAAAATGGCATTTAGAGAGTGGGTAGAGAGATAGGTATTTATAAAATTCTTGTTATTGAAATTTGCATACAAACTGGGTAAGTGTGCCAAAATTGTTCTTTGATTCATAAGTTTATTTTTTTACATGGACTCTCACGTCCATGATTTTTTTTTTCAACTTTGTCTCTAGTCGGATGTTGCCAACATCAAATCGTGTTAAGGCAGTACTTCAAACCATCTTACACTAAAAAGTCCATTTATTATGATATAGTCGAATCAAACATCAAACTACCCCACACTTAAAAGTCCTACTATGCTATGATGCAGTATAACATCATACATCTTTTAATGTATTTTTTCCTTTTCTAACCCATCGGATGTTAGGAAAGGGGCTGAGTCGTTGTGGTAGCATCCCTATATGTAGTTACCGTGGTTTTCAATCGTAGTGACGCATTAAAAAAAACTAACTCCCTAATCTATTTCAAAAATCCAATCTTATTGACACCACCATCTAATACCTTCAAAAAAACTAACTCCCTAATCTACTTGGAAAAATGGCGTACACCTTCAAAAAAACTCCTTAATCTATTTAAAAAACCGGGTAGGGGCTTGTCTTGTTTGAAACATCTCCCTGATCTATCTGGAAAAACGGTTTACACCTTAAAAAAAAACTCCCTAATCTATCTAAAAAAACGGTAGGGGCTTGTCTTGTTTGAAATATCCATTTGCCTTTGTCACGAGTAACGCAATGTTTGGATAGTTGTAATGATTGTGGCTAACATGGACCACCGCCCTACAAATAGGGGGTTCAATTTTGTTGACGTCGGATTGCCCCATGAGTAAAAAGAAAAATTAATAGGCAGTCCAATATTTGCAATGTCAGACTAGGGGCAAAGTTGAAAAATAAAAATAAAAAAAAGTTGAGATAGGACTTCCATATTAAAAATAAAAACTTATGGACCAAAAAATAATTTTGATAAAATCACTCGGTCCATATGTAAATACTCTTTTTTAAAAAACTTAATAATGTTCTATGGGCTTTCCATAAACCCAGGGGTTACTTGATATTATGATCATAGACATGGGGGCTCGTTTTGCTTAAAGTTTTTTGGCAAAGGAAAATCCATTTGCTCCTCTCTCCACACCTTTGCTGGGGAAGTAAAGGGCAATCGTCGTGGGGATCATAATGGTACTAGTAGGAGAACATGGGTTGCATGTTTTAACCCCGTAGTTTTTTTCATAGTTAGAAATAAGAGTGATTTACGTATGGATCTTAATTTTTTTTTTTAAATACGAAATACTCTATTTATAGGCATAAATTACAAAGAACGTCGGTCAACTCATTGTTTTTAATATTATCCCGAAGTAACTCTCGGTTCGAGGACATCATCAGTCCAAATTTTACCTTTTTTTTATAGTTTTTCCGTTAGTAGGCCCAACCCTAAATCTAGGAGCACTGCCCTACTAACAAAAAAACTAAATAAATTAATTAATTAAATTCAAATCAAGGATTTCATCATTTGATCGAATAGTAATTTTGGAAAAAAAAAAAAACTATTGATCGATTTTATTTGTAATTTTTTCTTATAAATAGAGCATTTCGTATTTAAGCAAAAACTTTTGGGTCTACGTAATTACTCTAGAAATAACATGCTATTGAAAACTATTGTTAAGGGAGATTCTAGTTTGTGATATAAAAAGCATAAAATATTCAATATATACTCTTAACATTATTATTCTATATATGCATAAATGCTTTAATATTATTGATGTAAACTAACAAGCAAATGAATGTAGAGGGAGTTTGAGTTTCAATATGACCGCAAAAACTATGTTTGTTTCCTAATCGACGACTATTATTTGGATGCCTGCGAATGCAACATTGACCAATCTATAGAATATATATAAAAAAGAAAAAAAATGTGTATGTGTATAAAATGATTACCGAACATAAAATAAAATAAAATAAAACTTCTTCACATTTTATTCATTTTTTGTGATTTTTTAATTATTTTATTTTACCCAACAATGAGTGAATGTTAAGATTTCAGGTTCGATGGGTTTTCAATTGTAGAGGAAGATCTAGAAGGGATTTGTAAGATATTTATGGCAGAGATAAAGTGAGAGAAAATAGGGTTTACAATATCGAAGGTTTGGGTTTAGATTCATGGTTAAACATGTTACTCTTGATATTTTCTCTTAATAGATCTATAGTGTTTCCATTAACAATCTTGTCTGGGGGTAATTTAGTGGGTTAAGGACATATGTGTTGGGTGAGTATGGTTGTTAAAGGCCTTATGAGTGCTTGTAATAAATATTTGCGAAAATTATATTCATTATAGTTTATGTTATCATCAAATACCAAATAGTTTCATTTATTACTGCAATGTCTGTTTTTTCACTTCATAACGAATTTTTTTAAAAAATACTTTTTTACCTTTTTTCGGTTTTTTAACAACTGAAAATAGGCAGAAGCTTCGAATTTGCATTATTATTATTATCGGTTGTTGAACAACAGAAAATAGGACAGAAGCTTGGAATTTGCATTCTTATTTTCGATTGTTCAACAACCGAAAATATGACAGAAGTTTGGAATTTGCACTTCTTATTTTTTGTTGTTCAACAACCGAAAATGTTATATTTTATTATTTTCGGTTGTTGAACAACCAAATCTGCCTATTCCAAAAGCTTAAACGAGCCTCACTATTTTTTATTGTTCAATAACTGAAATTAGCTTATTTTCAGTTTTTGACCAACCGAAAATCTAGTCATTTCGTTGTTCAAAAACTGAAAAAGAGTAAAAAATTATTTTTAAAAAAACTTTGTTATAAAGTGATAAAAGGGGACATTCCAGTGGTATTTTGGTAATAACATAAACTATAACAGATATGTACATAATTTTTCCTAAATATTTTTTATATAATGGAACGTGATCTCAATGGGAGTGTGGTCCTTCGTGGACCATACAAAGCAAATAACATTTGCTGATACAGAACTAAGCTCTATGAACTAGGCCAAAAAGGTTGGGAAAAAAGTACGTTAACTAGGCATAGAAAACTATATGATAAAGGTTATAAGAAGTTGTATCTTGAAGAGGTCTTAGTATGTCCGGATGAGTGAGACGAATGACTGTGTGACCCTTGTGTGTGATGGTATGGTAGCCTTCAAATACGTGGCCAAAACCCTCTCCATGCACCAACATACGATATACATATATGATAGTCGTTTCAGGAAAGTAAATCACCTTTCAGGGTGAAGCTTATGCATGTGCGATATATACCCCTATGCGTCATATGAGATGTGGTCGCATCAAGTTTGGATGACATTGGTACGTCTCTAGGGGAGAACCTGTTATTCACAAATTGGGACTGTTACCCCTTGCCCATTAGCTATACTTTGGTGAACCACTAATTAACCATTACATGGATTGTGGGTCATGGGCAACACTGGATCGGTTTGAGAAAGCTCCACATTTGAAGGTGAAGTGCCCAAATATTTATTTATTTAATTCTTAGACTATATGGATCATTTTCCCATCTAATGAATTTAATTATTTTTGTTTTAGTGATATATGATTTGTAGATTTGTTATTTGAATTTTTCTAGATCTCTAGATATTTTATTTATCAAATTTGAACTTATAAAAACAGAGATATTGATTTTAGAATGATTCAACTATTATAATTGAGTTTTATGACTTTTAAAAAAATATATAATATTTTAATTAATTTGATTATTACATGGGAGGCCCAATATGGGCCTAATATTGCATTGTGGATGGGGCCCATGAGTGCCACCCAGGGTGGCACACCTCACCCCAATGAGCTTTCAAATTTTGTTGGATCAAGCTTTGGCTTGTAGAAAAAGGTTTGTGATGTTTTAAAAAGCCTTTGCCTTAAGAAAGCTTTGAATAGATTTTTTAAAAGTACGAGGAGGCTCGCGC